GAGGCCCATCGCTAGTATAAAACAAGTGGAATGCGGGAAGTAAAGACTGTGTAAGAACCTCCGAAGGAGGCGGAGTCATAACCGAAATAACAATTTAATTTTTTTTTGTTTTTTGGACATTTTGACCCTTTAGGAGTGTAATGAGAACTTTTTGCCCCTATTCAACCATAACATACTCTACATGATAGGCTTTTCAAAGTGACTATGCCTAAAGTTCGAGCAACCCACATTTTTTTTGTTTTTGGACATTTTGACCCCCTAGGATTGTAATTAGAACTTTTTGCCCCTATTCAACCATGACTTCCATTACATCCTCTACATGATAGGCTATTCAAACTGACTAGACCTAAAATTTTCTAGTCTTTACTTCCAATAAAAATATTTCTTATTTAATATTATAATTTACAATCACAAGTCCGGGATAAGAGATAAGATAAAAGTTTAATTTTATAGCAAATAAATGTTACAATCCTTATTTTTAGACTTAATTTTAGTAGCAAGTTAAAATCCTCCCAAAAAAGGGCTATGCCTCCTAAAGTATTAAGTCCTAATTGTCACCGATTTTTCACCAAATCTTGACATAAAGTATATGGTTGGGGAATATTCCAGCTGGAGTAAAAATGGTCTGTGCTTACTGCTTAGGAATTGTGTTCTGTGGCTTAGGACTTAATAGGCAAAATGTCAATATGCCAAATCGTAATAAACTTATTTTTAACGGTCAACGCCATCTAGCGGAAGTTTTTGTACACATAATATTTTGTGGTAGGACTGAACGAAATGATGTAATTAAACCTTTATGCTACTAGTACCAAAATACTTTTGTTAAACTTAAATAGATGGCGTTGATACTTTTATTCACACGTCAACTGCTAGAGTAAAACCATCTATATATTATAATAAGTAGGTGTGTGGTACGCATTAGTACGAACTAGTACATATAACTCAATGGTACAAATCGATCTTTTTAGATCTTAAATAATAATATTACATTAGGTATGTTTGTGGTTTTGCCTTAAATTTTTTTAATACTTTTGTTAATTAAATTAAAAATTGTCCCTCTCCTCTTATATTTTAATAAGAACATTATGTTTTATGACATAAAGACTAGATATACTAAGATGTTTTTTTAATACGTCTTTGAAGACATAAAGACATTTTATAAAAGCTTTTAGAATTTTTTTTTACAAATATCCGCGTTATAAAATAAAATGATGTGTCTTACCTAGTATGAAGAGCACCTCCCGCCCTCCCTCGGTAAGTCTTAGCGGTTAGCCACCGTAGAGTCTATATCATCTGAGGATGCCTCGTGTAGAGGCGAAACACGTATCGTATTGTCGTCAGTGGTGTGTCTCGCCTAGTGTAGTGGTGTTGGGAGTAGCGGTGCTGGGATTAGTGATGACGGGGATAGTGCACGCAATTGAGGGAGGGCGGGAGGTGCTCTTCATACTAGGTAAGACACATCATTTTATTTTATAACGCGGATATTTGCGAAGTAAATTTTTCTAAAAGCTTTTATATAATGGATTTCCGCAAAGTAACGCCTGATTCTATTAATTATATAAATACATTTATTCCAACACTTACATCTTCTACACACATGACAAATTACAATTATAAATAAAACAAATGACTATAAACAAACCTAAAAACAAAAATTAGAATAAAGAAAAGTGCGTCCATTCAAAAAAGAAATTGTGTGCTATGATGAAGTGGTGGAAGGGACCGTCTCAGCATATGCCGCGAGCTTGCGGCGCTGATTTTCAGCCGGCCCCGAACAAGTTCCGACGGTCAATTTTATGCGAGCGAGTATTTTTTTTCTTATTCAATACCTTATGCGAGATGTGCCGTAGACGGTAGTATGCAGAGTCCCTACGTTTTACTAAAATGTTGATGATAAATATATGATTATAAACAATAATATAATAAGAATATAATATAATAATATTATAGATAAGTATTATAAATATAAATAGAGGGTAATAAATACAAAGTAACAGGTACATATTAGGTATACATTAAATAAATACTTAGTAAGCAGTAAATTATCATTAAAGGTATAATTTGAATTTATGATTAGAAATACTACATAGGTAATTCTTAAATAAAACATGTTCAAACATTTATACTTTCCTTCTGTTCGTTTAATAAAAATTTCTGTGTGTTTTAAAATTCCCTATTTTCTTTAGATTACGTAGTGGTGGAGATATATTATTCCAGCAGTGGGTGGCTGTATATTTATAACTACCTCTGAAGGCCGCCGAACTATGTCGAGGGACACTTAATATGCAAGAGGAAACACGCGTCAGATACTTATTGTGTTCACGACACAAGTCTAGTTTAGAGTACAGATACTTTGGATTATTTGTTTTCAAAACACCAAATAGAGCACAAGCAAAGTGGAGTTTTCGTCAAGCGGCCAGTAAAGGATGTTATTATCATTAAGGAATGGACTTACATGACCTCTTGGTGGCACATCCAAACAGAACCTTGCACAAGCGTTTTGGACTCTTTGAATAAGGTGTGCGGTGCGCGCCAGCAGACATGGCCTATATACAGTGTCAGCATAATTAAGTTTTGATAATACAAGTGCGTCAGATAACCTCTTACGTAGTTCCATGCTTAGATATTCAAGTATCCTGTGCAAGATTTTTAACCGATAGAAGCAGTTCCTAACAATACCAGCAATGTATTCTTCGAATCTGAGGTCAGGGCTAATTATAACTCCTAGATTATGGCTCTTCTCTACTCTTTCTAAAATAGTTTCTTTTATATATACTTTTGGATTGAAATAATTTATTTTTTCTATATGTTGTTTAGTACCACCAATTAAAAACTTCATTTTTGATGCATTCAACACTAGAGAATTTCTTTCTGCCCACTTCAGTACTCTATCAAGATCTTCATTGAGGTCCCGTATAGCTTCTGCACTATTCATGGGCTTGAAAGAGGTATAAACTTGAGTATCGTCTGCATATATATGGTATTTACAATTTTTAAAGCAAACGGTAATGTCCGAAGTATACAAAGAAAACAGCACAGGGCCTAGTATCGATCCTTGGAGAACACCTCTTGCAATGTGCTGAGGAGATGATATGTAGTGTTGCCCATTTTCTTTTTTCAGTATTATTTGTTGTGACCGCCCTCTAAGATAACTGCTGAACCATTTTATTGTTTTGGGATCAAACAATAATATGCCATTTTAGATAAAAGTAATGTAGTGTTTATTGTATCAAATGCTCTAGAATAGTCCAACAGGACCAGCACAGTTCCCTGACCTTTATGCTTCGTTTTGTTTTCGAGCGTCATTACGAATCATCTCACATGCCGACTTGACGACTTACAGTGTCATAAACAAGCCAGCACTGACCACATACATGGGTACTCTTCGGAAAAATACATCGAAGAACGTAGAGCACATTTAAGAGCTACATACAGATTTCCCTGCTAAGCTACAATGACTCTAACTATGCTCTAATAAGATCCTATGAATGTACTCATAATTTACACTATAAGGACTCTAGAAAACAGCATGTATTCACTTTTCTAGAATCATTATGAGTCGTCTAACACGCAGACTTCAAGACTTCTAGCATCACAAGCCAGCATAGCACCACATAGGCACCACATACATAGATATTCTTCATCAAATTGTATAGAAGACTAATGTTGCAATATTGACCGTCGGTATTTTAAAGTGCTGAAGTGTTTATACAGTAGAGCTACGATAGCTATCCGAATGCAGGACCAGAGTATGAAACATATCAAATTGCAGAGAGGTGTAAGACAAGGTAACGTTATATATAAAAATTTTCAAGCTACTGGACTGGAAAGGATACGTTATCAGCATCAATGGAGAATACATCATTCACCTTCTATTTGCCGGCGATTAAGTAATTAGGGCGGGGTTGCTGAAAGAACTCAGCATTATCGTCATTAGCGAATAGGTTTAAAAATTGTCAAGATAAAGGTTATGTGTATAAGCCATGTCCATCCATTTATACGTGGTAGAGCCATGCTGCAGCTATATTAGTAGTATAGTTGTAGCACGAATGGGTCGGCTTGACCGGGTAAGGACCACGCTCTTACAGAATACCAGCGTAAAATAGCCGCATTAACACTGCTGTGTTTCGTATGGTGAGTGTAGAGAACCGGAGACCCTTTTTACTGGAAAAAGAGGCATTTCATCTTAGTCCTCACGGGTGACAACGCATTTGCATTTTGATTCGCAAACGAGGATAAATGTAGATGTCTATCGGCCACAGCAAACTTACCATCAGATGGACTGTGTGCTCGTTTGTTACCCTATCCTATATAAAAAAAATGTCACTCTGGTAGTTTTTGGTAGCACTACGTTCGAAATTGTTGTCGAATATGTGTACCTAGGAAAAATTTCGAAAAATTCCGACTACGTAAGTTCAACTTTAACTGAAGTTCAATTGTCAAATCAAGATCGGTTGGGCAGCTTTCGAGAGATTACGACACATGTTCTCGCCACGTGTACCTTAAAACGTAGAAACAAGAGTGTACAACCAGTGTAATATGTTGCCAGTTTCCGTGACATATGGCTTTGAGATTAGTCTTTCACCGTTGGCCGTGTTTTGGCTCACGCCTCAGCTAATGGTGAAGGAAAACACAAAATCTTAATTATCATGCTTTTGGAGAGTAAGGAATGGCTTCAGCTTCTATCGTTTATCTACCTTATCTCTCTTAATCCTGATCGAAAGCACGTATAGTAAAATACTTATTAAGTGTAATAAGATTGAGAACCGAAACTAGATCAAAAATATTTGAATGATATTCGTACTTCAAAACAGTGAGTATGCATGTTTTCAATAGGAATTTAATTAAGTTCTACCCGTGGGAATAAGGCAGTAGGGTAGTAAAACTAAACGTTTATCGGCTTTCTTTGACTACAAGTACATACATTTGTAATCAAAATACATATAGAAATGCTAGCGAACTATTCATACATTATGAAATAAAACACATTTTATTTTTTAGAGATTTTTATAAACAATTATCATCAATATGTACAATAAACTAAGCAATAAGACAATGCTCTTAAGCTACAAATACATAAATGACACCGAGTTGCATTTATAAGTCAGAGGTCTGAGCTATTTGTGTGTATATAAAATTTGAATTGAATCTAAAATCTTCCCTAAAACCTTTAGTTTGTTTTGTTTCGAAAAGCATTTACTCATTTAATACTACAAAATTTATAATATACCTATACTTGTTTAATAAAATAATAATATTAGAATGAATGGCCTAGTTAATTAAAATAGCCACGCATTTATAAACATTGTGTATTATCACAGCATACGAATCAAAACTGCAATTTTTAAATTTTATTCAAAACCTAATTTTTATGCATATGTCTTGGACACGGTCTTTAAATGCTTATACATGATCTTAATGATTTCTTATATTTTATACGAAAATGTAGTACATTGAATAAACCTAATTTTACGGATTCTATCGCGTTTAATTGTACTTTTTTTTAAATTATTATGTGATCACAAGCTGCAGATTTCCCGGGAAGTCTGTAGTTTGTGATCATAATATCCTAGATTTACCCCCCGCCTTTACATTCCCCCGCCATTACATGAGATGACATAGATCATAAATCCTCGCGAAAAGATATCGATTCCTGCCAAGGATGATACGTGAAGCTATTGAAATAAAAAAAAACATCCTAATTTCAATAGAGAAGGAGGCTGGGTACTACCAGCTGCTTGGGATACTGTAATTAATAAAATTAAAACTAAACCCAAGCATAGCACTGCAAGACTTCAAAGATTACTGTGTCATAGTTAATTCTGCGTAGATCGGACCAAAAGTAATAATTAAAAAGCTGAAGGTACTGCGGGTTAACTCTGACATTGGTGACGTCAATCACCTCATATATACATACGCGATCAAGTTTACCGTCAAGTTTGCTGCGCGCTTGAAGCGGCGTCCGGTAAACTTGACGTGTATGGCTATCAGTGTGTCAGTCTACTTGAAGCAAAAATTTAATTTCGGTTCCGCTGATTTGATCAAGTTTGCGGCGTCAAGTAAACTTGACGGTGAACTTGAACGTGAGTGGTCTATATAGATGCAGAAACTGGACTTGACGATAAACTGGATTGTGTATGGCATCCATTAGTCCCCCCGTGACCATGAGTGCCGGAATGCGCCAAAAACGTCGGTAATTCAAAATAAGTATAATTAAACGCGATAAAATCCAGTAGTTTTATTGAATATGATCTTAAGTTGTAATTTTATTACATTTGTATTTTATAGGCTTTGAACATAAATATTTAATTCTTTTCATTTTATTTCATTCAACTACCTAAAAGCTTATCCATACATTTTTTTTATTCGAAATATTTGAGATTATGGCTTTTTTGGTATTGATGGAAAATAATATTTTGTGCTGTCATTCTTAAATTTGTAAAAAGAGAAGAAAGTTATTGAGATAATTTTGACAAAATTTAATTAAATAGATATTACTATTATTTATTAATATCGAAATACAATTACCTACCTAATTCTTATCTTTGGGAGAATTTCTAACCTACTTTATGAGCGGTTTTACTGCATGAGAAAAGAAGTAATTACAGTCAGGTACAGAATTATACATTTTTAAGTCAGATTATTGAGGAAATGTTAAATATTTCATTAAAATGATCAGTCATTCCGTCATTATTGGATAAATGGCACATTTTAATATAATAGATGAATATAGACAGAATTAACAAAAGATGAAAGTCTTATAATATGTAAGAAATTATTTTTATTTCATAGGATGGAAATAATAATTACAGATATGTTACAAAGATATTGAAACAGATCGATATATTTCATGGCCATTATTTAACTTTGGAACCATTTAGGTCACTTACCTTGAAGCAATGTCAGATACTAATTTAAATTAATTAAAACAACAATTGGCTTCGGGTCAAAATAAATTAGGTAATTAATTGGGTTGTAATTAATTTGATCGACACTTATTAAAATTGATACGAAATGGTGTTCTCATTTTTGAAACATAACTTTTTAAATCCCAAGTTAATAAAGATATTTGTCATGCGAAATCCAGCGACTCCAACACGAATCAAATTTAGTGATGACATCTCAATCTCATGTTTTAATTTTTAACATTCCATTTGTTATTTATACGTCAATGCCATATTATCCTGGATGTCAGCACCACGTCTGTTCTTTGAAGTAAAATCAAAGAAAAAGCTGGGACCTCTACACGACAACTAATGTGTACGAACAATATTATACCAATGTGTTATTGTTATAACTCTCAGTCGTCGTCATTTAGTAAATCTGTACAAGATTTTGCTTTGGTTGATCTGAAAATAAACAAATAATGTTAAATTAACACCCTTCTTATAATATTTTTTTATAGTTAAATAATTACAATATATCATTATTTATGAATAATAATATAATATGAAATTTAAAAACAAAATTATTTACTAAATAAAATTTTGTCTCAAGTCAGTATTCAACGTATTTAATACATTTTGTTGATGATATAAAATAGCAAAAATTGACAAACACATCACATCAAAACCAAGCATATCCCTTCGTTTCTGGTTCTTCATTCGAACCGCGCGGTGTTAGATCTTATTGTATAAGCATAAGATGGGGCTTTGTGTTTGATATTTACGATCAACTGCAAAATGATGGATACTAAAATTTACAGAAAGTAATTTTAGAAGCCACTTATTCGTTTTTTTCTTCAAAAAAATTGATAAAATAGAATTTACTTTAGATTTTAGTGCGGTTTGTGTTCTGAAGGGTATGTTATATGAAAGAAAAGGAGCGATATATAAGGTAGCTCTTTTTCTAAAAGCTTTTTATAGTATTAATAAGTGCTATAGGAGTAAAGATTTTTAGCTTGTAAGGGATTATATATTATTAAAAAAAATTCGACTACAAAAAATAAACATAATTAAAAAAATATTACTGTGCACTCTTGATTCTCCTACAGACTCTGAGTTCAATAGGACCACTCCGAACTGCTTTAAACAGCGCCAACGCTTCAATATGCGCCAGCTCGTGGCAAGCCTGACCATTTACTGCTAGCACTTCATCACCTGAAAGCGATTTTACATAAAGTTAGCGTTATGAGATATTAAAAATATTTGTTTAACTTTACTTGTACCAAAAATCATCCATCTTCTGATATCTTTCAGGAGATGCCATCACTTAAACATTTATGTTTAACGTATTGTGAAAAATTAAATAAGTAGATTTACAATATTATTCTTAAAAATCCTTGAGATAATAACGTAAAATAACTATAACAGTAATTTGTAAGGGGACCCATATGGGGAAAAGAAATACAAGTGAAATTTTTAATTATGAATATATTTAAAAAACTTTTCACAGCTGTATTAAAGTTTCTTTTAAGCTATTTGTATACGAATAACTATTTAATTACAAGTGGCAAATATTTACATGACATAGTGGTAGATATCGATTACGTCACGAAATAGAACCGTAGGGATAGATACAGCAGGATTTAAAGGAATGCAAAACATGCCGGGACGCATAGGATGATTTATGGAACTCTTAATTTATTCGTTGTTACATAGAGAGTGCCGTGTAGTGGCGGTTAAGAATATCCACTACCCCATATCTTCCCGTGGGTGTCGTAAAAGGCGACAAAGGGAAACAGGCAGGAGATGGGCAGCAGCATCTTCCTGGGAACGGCAAAATACAATAAAAAACTGCGGTTGCCAACCCGCTCGCCAAGCGTGGCAACTATGGCAATATACCCCCCCATAATGAAAGTTACGAAGAGACGGCCCCCAGTCCCCGGCGGCCCCGCTATTCCTGGCTACGGTGGCGACCATGGTAACGGCGGGGCAGGGGGTGCTAAGAATCTCCGGTGGAGGTTCGGTTGCCACCTACAACGACTCGACCTGGCAACATACAACGCACGCACACGCACGAGCTGGAAGAAGAGATAGACAAGTTACGCTGGCATATTATAGGATTATCCGAAATCCGAAGAGAGGGGGAGGACACGGTAATCCTCGAATCCGGCAACTTGCTCTATTACCGGGAGGGCGACCATCTGTCCCAAGGAGGTGTCGGATTTATCGTCCACAAGTCTCTCGTTAACAACGTTGTAAAGATTGAGAGTGTGTCGACGAGGGTTGCGTACCTTATACTCAGAATCACCAAACGGTATTCGCTGAAGGTCATACAGGTTTACGCACCAACCTCGGCACACCCCGATCAGGAGGTGGAGGAAATGTATGAGGATATCTCTAGAGCCATGCATTCCTCCAAAACCCAATATACGGTGTTAATGGGAGACTTCAATGCAAAACTAGGCACAAGAGAGAACGGTGAGCTGAAAGTGGGGAAATTTGGAATAGGGCAACGGAACCCAAGGGGCCAGCAGTTGGCCGACTTCATGGAGAAAGAGGGACTCTTTATGATGAATTCTTTCTTCCAGAAGCGGCCCCACAGGAAGTGGACCTGGTCGAGCCCCGACGGTTCGACAAAAAATGAGATTAACTTCATTATGACGACCAGACGACAACTGTTCAGTGATGTCTCAGTGATCGCGAGGGTGAAAACTGGCAGCGATCACCGAATGGTTAGAGGCACACTGAACCTAAACGTTAAGTTGGAGAGGTCTCGTCTAATGAAGTCAACGCTCCGTCCCCCTCGTGCTCTAATCCAAAGTCCCGAAACCTTTCAGCTCGAGTTGCAAAACCGTTTTCAGTGCCTAGAAGACTGCAATGAAGTGGACGATTTGAATGACAAGCTCGTGGAAACTGTCCATGCGGTCGGAGCTAAGTTCTGCAAGACACGCCGCAGAAGAACACAAAAACTCTCCGATCACACTCTTAATCTCATGGCTGTTAGACGGGAGATGAAGCTACATTCTTCAACAGATTTGACAGCATACAGGCAACTGAACAGACAGATCTCCAAATGCATACGGCGGGACTTACGCAACTTCAATACAGCTCGTATTGAAGAAGCGATCGAGCGGAACCAAGGCTCCAAAGTCTTTGCCAGAGATCTGTCTACCAGAAAGAGCCAACTGTCAAAGCTGAAGACCGAATGTGGCAGCATCGTTTCCGGGGCACCTGAGATTTTGAGTGAGATTGAGAGGTTCTATGGGCAGCTGTACACGTCATCGTTGGAGCCACACGCAAGTGTGAGTAACGATCCAAGAGCGAGTCTTATCCGACATTATTCCGATGATATCCCGGACGTCAGTCTGAGCGAGATTAGAATGGCTCTCCAGCACCTTAAAAACGGCAAGGCCCCAGGCCAGGATGGAATTACAGCGGAGCTTCTGAAAGCGGGTGGAAAACCGGTACTTGAAGTCCTTCAGAAGCTCTTTAATTCCGTCCTCCATGGTGTCATTACACCGGAGGCGTGGAGCAGAAGTGCGGTGGTCTTGTTCTTCAAGAAAGGCGACAACGCTCTCTTGAAGAACTACAGACCGATTTCCCTTCTGAGCCGCGTCTACGTGCTGTTTTCGAGAGTCATTACGAATCGTCTCGCGCGCAGACTTGACGACTTCCAGCCTCCCGAACAAGCCGGTTTCCGAAAAGGCTTTAGCACCATAGACCACATACATACCCTTCGGCAAATTGTGCAGAAGTCCGAGGAGTACAATTTGCCACTATGTCTGGCGTATGTGGACTATGAGAAAGCCTTTGATTCCGTCGAAATTTGGGCGGTGCTGCAGTCCCTTCAGCGATGCCAAGTTGACTGTCGGTATATCGAAGTGTTGAAGTGCTTGTACAGTAGGGCTACGATGGCTATCCGAGTACAGAACCAGAGTACGAAACCTATCCAATTGCAGAGAGGTATAAGACAGGGTGACGTCATATCCCCGAAACTCTTTACCGCTGCATTGGAAGATGTTTTCAAGCTTCTGGACTGGAAAGGATACGGTATCAACATCAATGGCGAGTACGTCACTCACCTTCGATTTGCCGACGATATAGTCCTTATGGCAGAATCGCTGGAGGACCTAAGCACTATGCTCAATGACCTCAATAGTGTTTCCCAACGGATAGGTCTTAAGATGAACATGGACAAAACAAAGATCATGTTTAATGTCCATGTCACACCTATGCCGGTAGTTGTTGGGAACACTAAGCTCGAAGTTGTTGACGAGTATGTTTACCTGGGACAAATAGTACGACTAGGTAAGTCCAACTTCGACCGAGAGGTCAATCGACGGATTCAACTCGGTTGGGCAGCGTTCGGGAAATTACGGCACATCTTCTCGTCAGGTATACCTCAAAACTTGAAAACGAGACTGTACACCCAGTGCGTGTTGCCAGTGATGACATACGGAACTGAGACGTGGTCCTTCACTGCTGGCCGGATAAGGAAGCTCAAGGTCGCTCAGCGAGCTATGGAGAGGGCTATGCTAGGAGTTTCTCTGCGTGATAAACTCAGAAATGAGGATATCCGCAGTAGAACCAGAGTGACCGACATAGCCCAACGGATTAGTAAGCTGAAGTGGCAATGGGCCGGCCATATAGCTCGAAGAACCGACAACCGATGGGGAAGAAAAGTTCTCGAGTGGCAGCCTCGTACCGGCAGGCGAAGTGTAGGGCGTCCCCCCACTAGATGGAGTGACGACCTGGTAAGATATGCAGGAAGTCGATGGATGCAGGTGGCTCAGGACCGTGCTTTGTGGCATTCTTTGGGGGAGGCCTATGTTCAGCAGTGGACTTGTGAAGGGCTGTAATGATGAAAAATGAAAAAATGACATAGAGAGTCGTAAATTCTAAGAGAATTGGACAACACAATTAGTTGTTTTTGATTGCATCATAAAATTAATAATAATTTGAAAATTGAAAATTGTAATTTGTGTAATTTGAAAATTGTATATTGAAAATTAAAAGTGAAGCGTTAATAACTATGGAGGTTTATTTGTTATGGTGCTCTTGTCTTTAGCTATCTCCAAAATAGGTGGGAAGTTCTTTGAAGTCGGCTTTTATTTATATCTATACAAATAAATAAAATTCAAGTAACTGTTTGTAATGTCAAAATTAGAGGGTTTTACTAATTGCATATAAAAGTATATACGGTAGTAATAACAAAAATACAATTTTTAAAGTTTTTGTCTGTCTGTCTGTCTGTCTGTCCGTCTGTCTGTCTGTTTGTTCCGGCTAATCTCCGAAACGGCTGGTTTTGACGGGATTTTCACTAGCAGATAGCTGATGTCACAAGGAGTAACTTAGGCTACTTTTATTTTAGAAAAACAATTAGGGTTCCGCGCAAAAACATTAAAGTCCCAAATAACACGCGGGCGAAGTCGCAGGGAACAGCTAGTTAAATGTAAAACTTTTAACTCTAATATTATGTACATTATAATGTAATTTCGTCATTATCGTGACTGAGCTTATGAACTGTATTATGAAAACATTAACACATTAGTAATTGATAATAGATTCTTTGATATTGATAATTTATGACCGATGTATTATAAAAATTTAAAATATATTATGTATATTTTTATAATTAATAGTGTTAGTAGCCTAATGGTTAAGTTAAGGTAAAGTCGTAGCGTAGTCGTTAAATACAACAACAAGCATTTTAGCTTATTAGTGCTACCGGCATTGCAAGTATTTTTTCAAATGATGCCGTGTGGCGTCGACCCTTATTTACCGTGGGTGCCATTAATAGATGATGGGAAATGCCTGAGTAGTATGGTGGCCTCCAGTAAATAGCGGTCTAACCGTATAAGATGTAAGGTTTTAAAAATGGCGGGGTAACTTCCTTAAAAGTGTGATACGTATGGTGCGATCGCCAACCCGCTTGCCTAACAGTTATGGTAAATTCGCCATGTAATGGAAGAGACCATTACGGACTGATGATGAACAAGACGAAGACGAATTCCCGCTCTTAATGTACGTCTTAATAACGTAATACGAATTTTATAATCATTTCAATTAATATAAAAGTTCATTAGTACATTTATTAACGTATATTATATGATACATAAAGAATGAATCAAAATTACCAGACAAAGAAAATTGAAAAGTTAAGGAGTGATATTAAATAAATTACCACATTTATATGAGTTTCCTTGAATTAAAAATTTATGTATTTAATACTTATTTATAATGACAAGTCTTCTTAAATATGTACTCGTATTACTAAGCAAACTCAAAATCAAATTAAACTACTGTTTAACACATAAATTTGCAAACAATAAAACTGTTGGTGGTTGCCTGTTTAATATTACAGTTTCAACGAACAACGCGGCCTCCTAACTTTATCAAATTGCATTCCTCGAAATTAATAATATTAAATGATGCGTTGAATATCGTGATAAGCAAATTGAATAAAATATAAGATTTTAATACCTGCTTTTAATCTGCCATCTTCGACAGCCTGGCCCTGGGGAAGAATGCTCTTGATGAAAATACCGAGAGGCCCTCGTGGAGAATCACGTCCCCCCACAATAGTGAAGCCAAGTGGTTTCTTCCCGTGTCCTTTTTCAAATGTTATTGTATGGTACGTGTGCGTCGGTGCACGTGGTCGTCTAGGGAGCGTGCAAAAATTCGCTGCATTCGGTGTTTGTATGTCACTTTCATCGTCATGTTTATCTGCAGTCCGATCTGTTGCACCATCTGGCGTATCCACGTCGACTACATCGCTGGCGCAACTAAGTGTAAGGCCGTCTTTATTCGTACCACCGTAGCTCACAACTTGCCGTCGCAGTAATTTGTTATTCATACTGCTGTAGCTCGCGTTCTGTCCCTTCAGGAAATGTGAGTGCGTGTTCATTGTACTGTCGCCCGCGTCGTCCGCAGCTGATAGCGCGTCGCGATTACACATGGATTCGTCCTGTAGTTGCCGTCGGTCTCTTCTGACGTCATATTTATCGACACTTCTTTCCTTCCCTAAAATAATAGCGTTTTCGTAATCTACCGAACTCTCCCGCATAAAGATATTGCTTTTTTGCGTTGAGTCTCTTTGTCTTATTTCCACAGATTTTTCACGTTGTCTACATATAACAATATCTATTTCAGATGCCCCTGACCTTAAAGCTTCTTTGGCTTCGGGCATGGTCAGATCACGAAGTCTACGTCCATTTACATTTAGAAGCTCATCACCTATTCGCAGTGTTCCCTCTCTGGAAATATATAAACAAATAGTTTATTTTATGTTTCACGAATTAATAATACATATGAAATAAAAATACATATTATTTGACGAACGAAAAGTTTTTATATATTATATTCTTAATATGATAAAAAAATCAAGCGAAATGTAAAAAAATGCATGTTTTTATTAATATGAATATTAAATATTACACAAATCATCGTTGTCAGATTTTAAAGTTCTCTACGGTACATATGCTTTTTTTTTAATAAACCAATGGGCATATATTTCTTGCAAGAATTTTTAAAACTTACTACATTGCACCTTACACCGTTTAAAATGGCCCAAGCACTGCACAGGTGAGTTAGTTAGCTTAATACTGATATACCCGAACTAGTAGACTAATGTTGTTGTTTTATAAACTCTTGACATTTTATATAATAAGTACTACTTTGTAGATCCAGAGGGATGTTAGTGAAATAAACTATCCTATATTTTCTTATTTTTTTTTAAATAGGAAAGGAGTGACAAATGAGCACACAGTCTTCCTGATGGTAAGTGGGCCACAGCCCATAGACATCTAACATCTATCCTCGATTACGAATCAAAATGCAGATGCGTTGTCACCCGTGAGGAATAAGATAGAATGCCTCGTTTCTAGTAAAAAGGGTCTCCGGTTCTCTACACTCACCATACGCAACACACCAACGTTAAGCTACTATTTTAAGCTAGTATTCTGCGAGATCGTGGTCCTTCCCCGGTCGAGCCGACCCATTCGTGCTTCAACTATACCAATAATATAGCTGTAGCATGGCTCTACCACGTACAAAAATACACGTACACGTATACGTACATATTATACATGTACAGTTTTAAACATAATTAGGGTGACAAACGAGCATACAGTCCACCTGATGTTAAGTGGATGCTGTGGCCCATAAACATCTCCATTTAATCTCGATTAAGAATCAAATTGCTGATGCATTGTCACCCGAGAGGACTAGGAGTGAATGCCCCGTTTGTTGTTAAAAGGGTCTCCGGTTCTCTACAATCACCATAAGAAACACAGCAGCCTTAAGCTGCTATTTTACAATGGTAATCTGTAAGAGCGTGGTCCTACCTTGGTTGAGCCGACCCATCCGTGCTACAACTAATATAGACTCTACCACGTACAAAACCACGTACATATATACTGAAACGTAGATTTACAAAAGAATACTTACTTTGCTGCAAGTCCTCCTGGCACAACATGGGCAACCAAATATCCTACGTGACCTTCATCAGATAGTTTAGTTTTGGCTATAAATATTCCCAGTTCATCATTAGGATTTCTTCTTATTATCCTGACTACTTTAAACTCTGGTTGTACTTTGTCAGAATTTCCTTTACTTTGTTTACGACAAGGTGGAATAGGCGGGATACCAGCATCTCCACGACTAGCATCTCTTTGTCTCATTTTTTGTTTTTCTGTTAATTGTAAGTACTGCGGTTCACAATAATCATTATTATTTTTAGGCATACGTCGAAGTATTTCTTTACGATCCAATGATAACGCTCTCTGATTGTGACGAGATTTTGACTTTACACAATCATTTCTTTCTCTGCTTCTTCTTCCTGAAATTCTTGGTTTTGTATATGTTTGGTCTCCAGAAACACTTCTTCCGTGACAAGTAACTTGAGGATTTGAATGAGAAGCAGAACTTTCACACCGGGAAGATATTCTATCACTATCAAAAATAGATGAAGCTGCTGATTCATTTACTAAGATACCAGAATCGGTGTCTTCACAATCTTGTATGAGAACGTTCTCGTCGTCACATGAGACATGATAAATATCGTTGTGAAATACCGCACTTTGGCCCTTTTGGAATTCATCTAAACCAGGTAAAGCTCCATATGAGAAACTGCGCAGTTTTGCTTTAACACCACCTCTTCTCTTTCGACTTTTGCTTACTGTACTGGTTGATTTTATTACATTATCACTATAGCTGTTCACTGCCTCCTCCTCTTCCCCGTTTTGCTTATACAACTTTGATAAAAACCTGTTTGTAGATGATTTTAAATATCTATCTGACATCGCTCGTAATTTAGCTGACAAACAAGAACTAGGTCCAATAGTATCTTTGTCATTCTTAGTCTTATGCTTATCAGTCTTTTTATTAGATTTAAGTGTTATTGATAAATTATCCTCATAAGGTTCGTAATTATCATTAAAGATTTGGTCACTAGATTTGGAAAGCTTTGCTCCTGCTTTAGGTATAGCATGGTATCGATCACACTCAGAACCTGAACTATAACATCTAGTGCCTCTGTTACTAAATGTCTTACTTTCTCTCCATTTATATTCATCAGGACTAGTTAAACTTTTGGCGTAAAAAACATCGTCATCGTAATTTGGCATTTTAACCCAAGGGTTATGATTTTCAAACTCATTGTGAGTTTCTGGATAGTTGCTAGTATATCGACTGAGAGTAACCTCCTCTACATGTCCCATGCCACTGCAATCGCTACCTGAAGTCGATGCGGTATCGTCACCATTTCGCAAAGGACCATTCGATTTAAAACATGATAATTTAGTATTTTTCACTTTATCAAGAAGTGGATTACGCCTTTCTCGGTAAACCATATATTCTTTTTCTAAGGAGCCTCCACGGCTTTTGCGACAAGCGTTGTAATTTTCTTGTGGTGAGGTGGGGCTATTTTGTAACGACACGCGCCTTGCCACTGGTGTTTCTCGTTCACGACATAAATGAGGAGATTTTTCTACAATAATTATCTGATCACTTAGATTGTAGAAATTTGTTTCCACCGAGCTGCTGCTACTTTTTCGATTTGAATAGCGCACTGGGGACATATCTGAAAATAAAATTGTCTTGTATTATTGTTTGTATACTACAAAAGAATAATTTTTCATCATTTTATTTGAACTTATTTTAATTGTAATAACTACAATCTTATCATTTATTGAACTTTAAACCTAGGTATTTATTTTTCCGAAAAACGTACCAATTCTGGATCTACGAGGTGAACGTGTTTCGGTGTCGGGCGACACGGCTAGCAGCCGCGGCGGCTCTCCCTTCCTGAACCACCGCATTGTCCGTGCCACTCACTCCATAACGAAACTGAAACAAAGAACTTGTATATAAACAAGAATACGAATTTAGAACAATTATCTAAATAGTAATGGAACGTCTTTTATTCGTCATAATAATAATCGTGCTTGCCATATAGTTACGGCGTAAGCATATCTTCCTGCTCATCTCGTCCCACGGATGTCGTAAGAATTAATCAAAAACTGAGAAGATCTTGTACTTTCCGATATATACGATGGGGTAATAATCGTATCTCTCAGCACCAAAGACATGTCCATGTCCAAAGTACCCCGACTAGTCGTCTAGGGGGACCTGCGTCAACGGAAGGAAACGCCTGGTATTGTGATCCGTCTGCATAAATACGTAGTGTGAATACAGATTTTTTTTCCTTCTATATTTGAATAGGTAAAGTGTCTATAGAGCTACATTATATAAATCAAAGAATGAGAAGAATCATAGTAACGATGTTATTATTGGCGTATTTGACCACTGCGGCAAAATTCGTAAGCTTTTGGTCATTAAAATTTATGTATCTGAATAAGATGTAACTTGTTATGAACTTGTAAATGAAGAGCCAAAAATACAGAAAATTTAGAAATGATACTGAAGCCAAAACCAATATATTGTGTTTTTTTGCACTAATGTTGGATTCGCCGGGAAGCGATTCTAATGACGGACATGTTAGCAAAGTACTCTGATTACGAGGTCATCGTATAGAATAGAATAATTTTTATTCAATATTAGATTACAAGTAATTCTAATTGAAAGTGATTTTTTTTTTTACTTTTAACACTGGTTCCTCTGTCCTGAAAAGAATCAGCAAGGAACCCAGCGGGACTTTTTTTAAAGTAAATGAATACAATAAAAGACAGATTGTAGAAACTACTCACAAAACTTATTTAAGAAACAGCTAGGAAGCTACTATCTCATTCTTAGGGGTGTTTAATTTATATCAACCACTAACAGGTACCCGGCGCGTTGCTGCCGCATAAGAAATAATTGTAGTAATATCGTTTTAAATTTGGAACAACTGTTCATTTGCTTAAGTAGGAATGCTAATGCATTCATTGAAATTGAATGATATATAACTTTAAAATAAATTCGTTGCTGCGATACGCGTGCCATTTACTGTACGTTAATTGTACTATGGAAGTGCAAGCAATAAGTTGACAGAGTTTTACTGCAATCTGATGACCGGTATAGCAGCGCATAATCGTATTTTATGCGCTTCCATACCGTACAAACAAATTAAGGTTTTTATATATTGGATATTTATTAATTTAAATTATATTAACACTTTTATACAGTTGTCGTTTACAAAATATTTAAACTCAGTAATATGTATATTTCTGGATTTTTGTTGTAACACCGTATACATTGCCCCATGAATGAATTACTGACTCTGTGGAGTCATGTAACTGGTATCACTAACTTTCCTGGTTAATTACCTCTTTCTTCTAGTGGTGGTAAACGCGACATTTGACGAAAGCACTATTAGGTGTATGTGTTTTCTTTAACTTTAACTTTAAACAAAGAAATAATTATGCTTTAAACATTAACTTTTTGAGATTAACTACTATGGGAATTCAATTAGAGAGGTAGACACTACAAAATTTTTGGGTTTGACTATAGATAATAAGCTGACATGGAAACCTCATATTGATAATTTAATTAAAAATCTCTCTTATGCCCTTTATAAACTAAGGAAGGTTGCCAGTGGTAAAACACTCCTAACAGCCTATCACGGATATATTATTGCATCAAACTTAAGTTATGGAATAATGTTTTTGGCCAACACTACTGAAAAACAAAGTGTCCTCAAAGCGCAAAAAAGTGCGTTAGATCAAAGTTCGGTGTTAATCAAGATGATTCACGTGAACCGTACTTTCGCAAACATAAAATTCTAACTCTGCCGAGTATGTATGTATATGAGGTTGCAAACTTTGTTCGAAATAACCCAATTTATTTTAAAATGGATACAGCCGGAAGTCGTCGTGAAGGCATATTGAAAGTTAAAGGCATATTAAAGTTTTCTTCCTCGCACGACCTCCTTGTGGAATCGATTACCATCAGCGATTTTTCCGGACCGATACGACTTAGGGACCTTCAAGAAAAGAGCGTACTCCTTTTTAAAAGGCCGGCAACGCATCTGCGATTCCCCTGGTGTTGCAGTTGTTCATGGGCGGCGGTAGTCACTTACCATCAGGTGAGTCGCATGCTCGTTTGCCCCCTCTCCTATAAAAAAAAAATTCAAAACCCTTCTTCGAAGTATGTGTGTAAATTGCATGGCACCATAAATCTATAATAAAATCCCATTAAATATCATAATTAAATTAATTAATGATGTCAAAAGATTTAAAACTGCGCTCAATGGCTTCCTTGCTGAAAAAGTGTACTATCACATAAGAATATTTTTTGATGACAAAATGTAAAAATTACTACAATTATGTTCAAATACCTTTAAGGTGAAACATGGCTGTACCTAGTATTAATTTTGTATGACAGCCGGTAGTACCTACCCATGCTTATGAATTAATAAATGATTGATTGATCGGATTCGATTCCCGGGTCGGGAAAATCTGTGATTGGGTTTTTCTGACAAGAAATTATTAGTAGCACCCCGGAGTCAGGAAGTTACACTTCCGTGCCTTGGAAAGCACGTAAAGCCGTTGGTCCTACGGTCGGATTATCGTCCCATTGAAATATGAGAGTGAGGGAATAGAAAGTGCATCTTTGCTTGCGCATGCACTCAGACATTATAATCCTGTCCTGTGCAAATGACTAGTCTCCGTTGAGACCGGGCGCCGCGTCATGTAAGAAAGTCGGTCTGGAGGACATTATATCTCTAATTTGTGTGTCTTCCTGGTGTTTATAGAGTGTATATCACTTGTATTATTAAAATTAAATTTGTTTTGTGAACGTACATTTACGTAAATATATATTACAGAGAGACCAAAGTTAATATATTTATTTCGTAATATTTTTTCTATGAGACTCTCGGTTTTAGGTTGTATAAAGCTCCTTTGGCCCTCTTCTGCAAAACAAAAATAGTTTTTTTTTAATCGGCCGCATTTCCTCATATCGAAATTCCATTATGATATAGAAATAATTGAAATAATCTAATCTAGCTGCCGCGACACCAGTGAGAATTCTTATCTTTTTACAGCATAAGCTGCCGAGCTTAGTCTGCTTGCTAGTTTAGATATATGGGGGCCCGCGAAAGATTTGCGTTGAGAGTAATGCCAAGAAAAATAATGGAAACGACAGGGCTCAGTTCTTTCCCATTTAAAACACATTGGTTACATTCACACAATTCATCGTGTTAATTATACTGAATTAACGCTCATATCTTTTTGCAGTATAACAATCATTTAATATGGTATTTCCAAAAGGATTTTTCGTGATTTCAATTTGGCTTAAGCCAATCTCACCAGTCCCGAGCACATACGCAAAATAGCCAGCTTTTCGATGTTCTACAGAATACATTTCGAAGTGTGTGCACGAGTTGCATAACATACTCGTAATACCTGCATCTCCTTTCCACCGACAGTTAAACAGACGCTCGGCCAGTCTCCACTTCTTTTTTATCTACTAGGTACACATTCGAGTCGAACGATTTGTTTCGTAAAATGGGGAGTAGTTTGCCAGCAGCTGTCTTTCCATGACTATCTTCGATTACTTCACCACATGCCATCAGGTGAGATAGTAGCAAAGAGATTTAAATATATACTACTTAAATGTCTTTGGATAGTAGCCAAGGGCTGGCTTATAGTTAAAAATATTATCATTATACTATGTAAAAATCAAATATACATGCAATCATGTCTATACTAACATTAGCCTCTGTACTTTTAATATTATGCACGTCAATCAAAAATTGATTACTTTATGGAACATATTACGTCTTATAAGTGAACAGCTAAAAGCTTACTGCGTAAAATAATTAACTGGGTAATGATGTCAGTGACGATAAATTACTAAACTTACTGCGCATAAGCATTATTTTGTTACCTAAATACATCTGTTATGAAAAATAAACCAAATAATCTGTATTTGCATTCAAATCAAATTACAACCCGACTAAATCTGGAAGTAGGTAGCATTGACATATGTTTCTAAGTTAAACTTACACTAATATAAAACCGGTTAAATTCAAATCGACATATTTTGTAACTAATTCATTGTTGTTTATGCAAATATAAATATTTGAAATCGATAAATGTAACTCGTTCAACTCCTTTGATAATCGAAATTTTGCTGTGTTACTTTAAATAGCAACACTGTAACTAATAAGTATACTCATGCGACATTCATCATCGACGATGCTGTCGTAAGAATTGACAGCCGCTTCGATTATTATCACGTAACGTCTAACCTTGCATCTGCTAATGGCAGGTATGTTAGGTAATCGGTTCGATATGTTTGTCGCATTTCTTTTTGTTTATAGTATTGCCGCCTTTTGTAATCAATTCAAAACGCAGTCAGAATTACTAAAAGTATGATTTATGTTTTTATATTACAATTGACATCTAATTTTATATAAACGAAGTTCAACAATATGTGTGTAAAACAAACATTCTAATATAAATCCGTCTCTTAAATGAAGGACATACGACGAATAAGGGGATAAATTACGTAACCTAATTGTCGCCCGTTATTTTCTGTGGAATTTATTTTAAATGCATCTAAATAATCAAACTCCAGAATAGAGATTGCTTATGTAGTTAAAAAGTATACCTAACTGATTTTTACCCAAATCTCATCATGTTCAAGGAGGTAGTGCAATGTTCAATGGTGAGTAGGAGAGCTGTGTAGATTTTCCACGTCTACAGTAGAGCAATTTCATCTGACGGTCTCAGATTAACATTACTGAGCATCGCTTTTTTGACTGTATTTATCGCAAAAAATAAATCAAGAAGAAAAATGCTTAATGGTATGTCAAAGGCAACGTGATAAGAATTTATCTTAAGGTTCTGTCATCCATTAGTATTGTAGAAGGACG